TTTTTTTGTTTTCTATGTTAAAATATGCATGTGTACACACACACATACAAGGATACTATTCAATTTCAATTTGTGTTTCTCATTATGTAATAATCAAGTGAAAAATAATGCATATATACTTGAGGTATACAATTTTTAAGCCAAGATGTGTTTCATAGAAAGTGTGTAAGACTACAATAATTAATCCCCAACCCTAACATATTCAAAATTGCGGTATACAATTGTGGTATACAATTTTTATCAGTATTAACGAGTCTTGTTCGAGCTTTAACGAGTCAATCTCAAGTTTTAACGATCTGAACTATAAAAAATGATATAAAAAATTTCTTTTCGAGCCATAGCGAGCCGAGCCGAGCCGAGTCGTGCCCGACTTGTTAACCAAACGAAGTTTTAAGCGAGCTCGACTCGTTCATAAAACAAGCTGAGTCGACCTCGAGTCCATCTAAGCTCACGTGTTGCTCGTTTCGTTTAACAGCTATACCACTAATACAATTCATGTAGTGACATTTATACTATGATTGTATTATTAATTTATCTACACAAACTCGCATGTTAAAATCTCGTGATCTTTTGCCCTCATTGTTTTACAAATTGCACATAATCGCATACAGATATTACTTTATGGCTTATGCACATTGCAACTATCCTTTTGCTTATTAGAAAGTGCTATGTGAAAACTGAAAAGCACCAATTAGTTAAAAAGTGATCTACATCACCTTAACAAAATTATTGGTATGGGCCCAATTAGTCCAACCCAATCAATTAAAGGTGGACTATGAAAAATCGAGCCCATACATGGCTTGGTCCAGAAAGTCTGTCGGGTCGATCAAGATCCGGGTTAAATAACCCCAATAAATGGGTCGTGGGTTGTCGATGTCCGACATAATAAGCAAAATTCAAAATTTGGAAAAGGAAATTGTTTGTCTTCTCCTCCTCGGCCCTAGCTGCAATTCTCAAACCAAAAACCCTAACTCACTCCGATCTTGTCGCCGCCGCGTGGAGGAGTACGACCACCGTCATTCGCCGTATCTACCGATCGTTGTAATCGGTGAGAACCCTTTTTCCGGTATAAGTTTTTTGTGGCCTTTTATATCCACTTTTCCTCTGAGCAAAGGCCAATGGCAAATTCATGAGCTGGTTTCTTTTAGGTTGCCTAATTTAATTTCTGACCCCATTTTAACTAACTGAATAATTCGTACGAGTCTAGAAAGAGGAACAGAACCGGCATTTGACTGCTCTGTAAATTATTTTGCAACCTCGGAGATAAGATTGATACTATTGTACAGCTTGTAAATGCATAAATTTGTTAGCCCAGTCCCTTTTTGTTTGCTAATTATGTTTTTGTCTGATGTGTTTGTTCTATTTTGTTGTTGAGCTTTTCATATATGAATCCTTTGACCTGCTTACTAGTTTGCCGCTCTCCCTTGTGAGATAATGTAACTGGAAACATGGATGTAGTGAACTCCGCAAGCAACTGTGGAACGGTTTTTCTCTGGTTCATGTTAATTCAATGCTATTGTAGACTTGTAGTGTATTAATTTGCAAGATGGTTCAAGAGTATAAGCTGTATAACCATATCACACATACATCTACCTAAATTTATCTTGAGTCTTCCTAACAAGATTCTTTTTTTTTTTTTTAATTTGAATCTCGTATAGGAACAACCATAAGAGAAAATGAGCACGAACGTCCACAGAACCCCCAAGTCCGGAGCGCGATCCCTGTTCTTTCAAGATTTAGCATCGCCCGTGACCTCCAGAAAATCCGGGGGAAAATTCTCGACCCCCGGTCAGGCAGCCGCTGTATCGGCCCTGTGGCGGGAAAATTTTGCCAATTCCGATCTCCCGCCGCCACCCGTTTTCACCCTCGAGGACCGTTATGATCTTTCTCCGGAGTCGGGTATCCCGGATTATCCTTTGTCCCCCGAAGCAAAATCGGACCCCAAAACGCCATTACGCAGTTTGAGCAGGGAGTTTTCGACTCCCAAGAGCAAGTCTGATGCGAGCACATCTTATGCGGGGACAAGCAAGCAGCAGAATCAGCAGCAGCTGCAGAGCCCTATGGCGAGTTCGAGCTGGTGGTCTCCGGCAAAGAGTGGCGGCTCCGGTGGAGGTATTCTGGTGGAGCAAGAGGAAAAAGGGAGGGGTTCTCCTGTAGAAGGGGTGGTGCAGCCGGGTGCCTTGATTACGCTGCCGCCTCCTAGGGAGGTGGCAAGGCCTGAGTTGAAGAGAAGTTTGGTGCCGGTAGGGAATTTGGACGAGGAGGAGTGGGTCACTGTTTATGGGTACTGTCTCGTTTGACCATTTTTTTTCCCAATTTTGGTCTTGTTCTTGATTTTCATTTGATTTTTGAGTTGGGTTGTGCTGGGGGGTTTTGAGTTGGCTATGGGTTACTGTGGTCCGTTTTTATATGTTTCATATGAGTACTGTCTCGTTTAACCATTTGTCTTCAATTTTGGTATTGTTCTTGATTTTCATATGATTTTGAGTTGGATTTGTGCTGGAGGGTTTTGAGTTGGCTAGGGTTATTGTTGTCTGTTGTTTTATATGTGATGATTTCTAGATGTGTTTTGGTAATAGCTAGTGGAGTATCTATGCATGTTATGGAGGTGTTTGCTAATAATTTTTTGAAGATTCTCTTTAGCTTGAAAAGCATGAAATTTTGGTGTGTGGAGTTATAGATTCTACTGCTGTTTTTCTAGGAACGTAATATGAGTTCAACTTCATGAATAGGCCTTACCAATTTTACGCTCTGTTGGCTCTCTAAAGTACTCCTTTATGGAGTTTCATTTAATATCGCCTCTTGTATCTGAAGCTAATAGTGTCTCATCTTTGATATTCCGTTGTTGATTAAAATGATCGAATTGTTATTTCAAATCTTTTTTCTACAGGTTTTCGCCGGCTGATACAAATCTTGTTCTGCGGGAGTTTGAGAAGTGTGGGGTGATCCTCAAACATGTTCCTGGTCCGAGAGATGCTAATTGGATGCACGTTTTATATCAGGTTCTTTTTGCTACTCTCACAAGCTGATTTTGCCATATGCTTCCATGGAGCTATGTATATATTGTTATTCCTTTCAATAGTGTAGAATGTTGTCATGTCCCATAATCGACCTTGTGTCTTGTAAGGATAACTAGTTATCTCCTTTATTATTGACATGAGTAGGATACATAGCTTGCTTATATAGTCTTACAAAGTTTTTAAACCTGCTAATTTGCTATTCATCAAAATTCTCACCATAAATGTATTGTGTTCTTATTCTTCTAGAAACCGATAAACCTGAATTTCATACTCGATACGTTGGCTTATAGTTGCATTTTCTAATTATATCATGATGTTTTCCTCCCTTGGGGTCTAGATCAGGAGAGAATTCTGTCTTGCATATTAGATCACGTCACTAAGGCTATGTTTGGTAAAACTAGTTTGCTAGCCGATAGCTTATAAGTGATTTTCGAGCTTATAGCTCATAGCTTATGACTGATAGCTGAAAAACTAACTTATATGATATGATATTTGGTAAAAGTAGCTAAGAAGCTAGCTGAAATAAAAATTTCATCGAACTTATTTGAAAAGCTACGGAAAGAAGCTTACGAGATAAGGTCGAGTTTTTTCCTACCAAGCGAAACTTATTTGAATTCACCAAACATAGCCTAAATACATTTTTAGGAGTTGAATGAAGGCTTGCCAAATGAGGTTTCCATATTTTTTTGAGCACAAAAACATGCCCTATTACTTTCACATTTTAATCAAAAGCCACGCATATTTATTATACCCATTTATGATCTATGCGAGCATACTGCAAACCAAATACCAATTAAATCTCACTGATTTGTTTCCTCCCTCAAATATTTCAGAATCGATCTGATGCACAAAAAGCACTCGGCAAAAACGGGATGGAAATAAACGGCGTTCTCATCATCGGGGTGAAGCCTGTGGACCCCATGCAGCGCCATGCACTAAACGAGAGGATCAAAAGCAATGGGTTCATGACAATGTTACCCCCTGCGCCTTCGAGTCGAAACTCGGAGTCAAATGGGTTCAAAGTCAACCCTTATCCGTACTATTTGCAGAACAGAAGCTCGAGCGTTCGGCAACCGGCCGGGACCATGGCCACACCGGCTAAATCAATGGTCTCGAAAATTGTGGACTTGATGTTCGGTGTCTAAATTTCAAAATCCCCTCATGATTTTCGAACCCTTTTCCCAGGTGCTGGTTGATGCATGAAAGCGCTGATATGCACTGGACTTCGAATAATTCGATTTTCGTTTCGATTATAGGTAAAATGTGAGCTGAGCATGAGTTTTAACTGGATACAATATATGGAGATGCCATTGTGTTTGTACTGAATATGTTTTGTGATATGTAAACAAAGATCTTATTATGACATCAAAATTGAAAATTTGCTGTGGACTCCGATTGTTTACCAGTTTACATGGAATGGTAGATATCTTCTTTTGGTTTATTGTGTGACTATTTGGGTTTATTTTGTTTTGTTTCTGAATACAATTTTCTCTTATTATCCATTTTTTTTCAAAAGATGGTAAAATAACGTGGGGAGATACTACGCTCCCGTAACTCCCGTTACGGAACCATTCTGTCAGGGTTCGTAACCACTTAGATCAACTATTCCCTATGATTACATGATGATTTAACGATTACAAATCCCGATGGAATGATTTCAATCCCAATGGAATGGTTCCATAACGGGACCGTATCTTTTCCTATAATGTGATACTAATGCTAACAAAAAAACACTCATCGATTATCGTACACTCTCAAGTTCACGGGCATTGCCTTGTGCAGTCAAATCCTTTGAAAAACTCACAGGCCATTAGTAAGAATACTGTGCCACGTGTCCCTCCTCACCATTTTTGAAAACCTCACAGGCCCTAGTAAGAATAAACCCAACACAAGTACACTACAACAGCTCCAATATTTCCTCACTCAAACCAGAGAAAAGAGAAAGGTAAACAAAAGAGAAAAAAAAAAGCAAAGATGACGAATGGGCCGAAGAGTGGGCCGGAGGTGAGCATTCAGCTGCCGGAAACAAAGATGGACTTCGACAGCGGCCCGGTATCGGTGACCCTGCAGCGGCCGGAAAGCCAGAGGAGTGTGCTGGCCCACCGGAAAGCTGACCTCATTCACTGCATGGTGCGGCTGATATGCGTCTTGACGAGCATTACGGCGATTTCGGTGATGACGTCAGCAAAGCAAGCCGGCACCCTCGATCTCTACGGCTTCAGCATACCTTTGTTCTCCAAGTGGTCATTTTCCGACTCTTTCGAGTAAGTTTTTTTTTTTTTTTTTCAATAGATAAATAATATTATTGATTTAAATTATAAAATAACATAGAAAATAAGTTATTATATTAATATATTGTAAATATTTTTTGCATTCTATGCATTTTTTATTGAATTTTCTTTTTATATATATATAAAAACAATCCTTGTTTGATGGTATCAGAGTGAATAAAAACAAGCACCCGTGACTAAATGCTCCTTTTTTTTTTCTTTCTTTTAATTGTTTTTTCCTTTTTTGTTTGTTTGTTTTTATATGGACAAAATCACATACAGAGTGAACTAAAATCTCCGTGGAAAAAATAAAAAATAAAAAAAATAACAAGACACATGTACTTTATCCATCAATGAAATCAATGAAATTGAAAAACAACAGAGTACTTAAATAAATTAACTTTAATTTTGAACATATTGGCTGAAGGACACATTATATATATCATAAAATGCATGATCATAAGTTAACTTATATTGGAAAAATAAAATAAAATTTGTAGAGTGACTTAAACTTGTGTCGATTTCAGGTACCTCGTCGGAATGTCAGCAGCCGTGGCAGTTTATTCGTTGGTTCAGTCGATAATCAACGCGTTTAAAATTTTACGAAAGTCTCCGATTATCGCTTCTAGAAATCATGCATGGCTTATTTTTGTTGCAGATCAGGTAACAATATTGTGGATACATGCAAATGTATCATTCTCCTGATGATTATATATATTAGTGAATTTGCTTAGAAGTTAGAATCCCGTCACATTTTCCGGTGTTTCAACTCACGATCAAGTGATTGTTCGTCGTATTTTTCTCGTGCATTGTTGCGAATTCTAAACATGCAGCTTTTGTTGAGATGTAATTGTAAGTTTCACAGGTTATTATATTTGCTGTAGTAACTATTTTTTAGGGGTAATTTGAAAGAATGTTCTTCATGTAACCATGCATTAAAGCTGCAGAATTACAGATTTATCATTATTTCGTAAAGGCTAAATTGCAAATCTGGTCCTATTAGATTATGAATGTAGCAATTTAGGTCCTGTAATTTGAAATTTTATTGCAATTTCAGTTAGTTTGACTGTCAAAACGACTGAAATTGCAACATAATTTTAAATTACAGGACTCAATTGCTATATGTCACTCCAGTGGACGTAAATCGCACATATTTTGATAGGACTGAAATTGCAATTTAGCCTTTCGTAAATTCGTTCATATCTTCGTTGCTTGAGACACTAAAATTAATGCAGATATTTGGATACGCGATGATGAGTGCCGGATCAGCTGCATCAGGCGTCACGAACCTGAACAGAACAGGCATTCATCATTCGGCTCTTCCGAATTTTTGCAAGCCTTTGCGCGTTTTCTGCGATCGTGTGGCTGTCTCTATAGCCTTCGCCTTCTTCAGCTGCTTCTTGCTTGCAGTATCAGTGGTTCTGGATGTAATTTGGCTGTCCATGTATTATTAAGCAACTAAGAAAACTTTTAGTTACCTTTGAGGGAGAAAAAAATAAATAAATAAAAACTTGGGGACTATTTGGATAAATATCCTAATGTTATTGATGAGCCAAAAAATATATCTATCTTGATCTATCATGTTTGTCTGCAGTAATATGTATGATGTAGTTGCCAATGTAATTCAGAAATTATGACCTTGATTAAATGCAAATATGCATTCATATGAATAACATAACATAATGCACACATATCATGTTACTTTACAATAATATTTTAGATCGGTCGGGCTACTATTAGGCAGGTCTAACGGTTATAAGGCCAAACCTTTTTTAACAGACGAGCATGTTTTCAAACTGAAATGTCGTGATAAAAAAAAATAATAAAAATAATTTGGTTTGACGTTTCATAATGTAGATGTGTGTGTTTGTTATTAAAGTATTACTAGTACTAATACTCATGTACAACATGGATGTTAAGTTAATGAATATATGTGTAAAGTTATTTATGTTTAATACCAAACCTAACTCTAGAGCAAAAATAATAAAAACATTACGAAGCATTGATTTTCACCATGTCAGCATCCGAAGCGTGAGAATCTGCCACCTAGGCTCAATGCGTTTTGATTTAATATATAGGGAGGGATGGATCGACAAATAGTACTAGGTCAGGTCATAGAAGAATTTGAGGTTATACATAAATAATTTCATACATAACTATTATTTATGACACTTTTACATGTTTACCATATTGTTGAAATTTTTTATAAACATACGACATTAAAAATAAAAAAGATAACTCATAAATTATGTATAAATGAGTTATAAATTAATTTTTTTTTAATATAATTTAGAATCAAATACCAAATTAAACCCCAAATCAATCATGTATAAACAGTGAAAGTTGATATAATTGTAATTAAAAGAAAAAAACTTATCCATAATTAAAGTCCGGCCCAAGTTAACAGCCCAATCAAACCACCCAATGGGCTCTTTTCCAGAGATCAGAAGAGAAAAGAAAAACAAAAATCCAACTGAACTTCTAACATCAAAGTTCTCACAGATGACATCTTCTTGAGGCGGTTCGGCACCGCCGGGCAACAGCGACCGTCTCCGCCGCGCCTCGCACCTCCGGCGACGCACAGCCGTCTGCTCTTACCAGCTCAGGATTTCTTAAAAGATAAAACCTTTCTGCCCCTTATCCTTTACATTGTGCTTATCCTTTTTCTTCGTTTCAATTAATCTCCCTTATGCAATTAATTCGACAAATTCCATGGCCTGTAATTGCCTTATCCGTTCTCCATATCCGCCCATAGGCCTACTTAGGCGACCTCGTCGCAAAGCCATTTTGCCCATTTCGTGCAGCCTTTCTGGAAACCCAGATAACGTTTCAGTGGAAGAAGAATCGAAGCTCAAGCGGACCCCACTAGATTTGTTCAAGCTCTCAGTGACACTAACCGTAGTCTCAGCCTCTCTCCCCCAGCCCTCTTCAGCTGCGCCCAAAGTGTCCAAGAAAAGGCAGTCAAGGAAAAAAACCGAGTTCCTAACCCCTTACGAGCTGCAGAAATGGTGGAAGGGGCTTCCCTTGGTGTCCCACAGGCTCCGTTATACTGAAGTATTGGATTTGATGAGAGAAAATAAGCTGAAGCACATCGTGAAATCCTCGGATGGCGAATTGAAGTGGCGGGGGGGAGTTGTTCTGGTGGTTTTTGATGATGACAAGGTTTTCCGGGCAGTTTTGCCCTCGGTCGAGAGTGATCCGGCCTTCTGGGAAGAATGGGACGAGTTGAAAATCGATGGCCTTTGCATGAATTCCTACAGTCCGTCCGTAAAGAATCCTAATATGCCAAGTCCTTACCTTAGATTCTTGCAGAAATTCTCCACATGGGCTTTCCAACGGGCTTTCTCGTTGTTCAAGGCGCCGCCTCAGTCGAAAAAGGCACTAGAGTTAAAGAGAATGAGAGAGCAGATAAAACAGACGAGGAGTGATGAGCTGGAAAGGATTAAAGAAGAAAGGGAGTTGGTGGAAATCGAGATGAAAATGCAGAAGAAACTGGAAGAGAAGCAGAGAAGAATGGAAATTAAGCAATTGAACTACGAAAAATCCCTTCGCGAGGCGCAGAGAAACTCGGTTATGCAGTCCAAGATGTGGACAGATTTGGCAAATAATGGATTTGTCACAACAGGCCTTGGTTTCTTTTTTTTCTACGTATTTTACCAGACAGTCGTTCTTAAATACAAAAAGCAGAAGAAGGATTACGAGGACAGGTTGAAGATAGCGCAAGCGGAGGCTGAGGAGAGAAGGAAAATGAGGGAGCTGGAAATGGGACTGACCGGAATTGAAGGTGATGAAGAGGAAGGGGCAAAAGGGGAAGAAAACCTATATGTGAAGACTGCGAAAGAGTTCACTAGGTCTGGGGCCCGCGTACGTGGGGTTAGGAACAGGCTCCCACAGTATTTGGAAAAAGATGTGGATGTGAAGTTCACTGATGTGGCCGGGCTCGGAAAAATCAGGATTGAGCTCGAGGAGGTTGTGAAATTCTTCACTCATGGGGACATATACCGGAGGCGGGGGGTGAAAATACCTGGTCAGTTACTTTCGATTGGTGAAAAAAGAAATTGACATTATTTTATTTGAATTACATTTGTGCTCTTACAATTTTCTGTATGTGAATTGGAACCTGTTGACATGCTATTCCATTTTTTGTAGATGATTGATTAAGTTTCTAATAAAATTTTCATTGGTGGGGTGTTTATTTGTGTATGGTTGTTGCTCGAGGATATATGAGAACAGTCAATATCAAGATGACATTTCTATGTTCGTTTTGTAAATAAATTGATATGCCACTGTTGTTTTGTCCTGTGTAGAAACTGATACATAATAATGGTCATGCTAAGTTGGAATCCTGAGGAGTTAATTTTTATAACGTGAGATCTTAATTTAACTTACAGTATTGTCAATCAAGTGATTAACTCAATCCACACCGCCAGATCAGATTTTTGCATGCACATCTTTTGAAGATGTTCTTTTATGCTTATATGAATAGACTGTAACTTTTTTTCTCACACACACTCTGCAACTGCAACAAGTAACTGAGGAAGAGTATAGGAAGTGCAGTAATTTTTTACTGTTTTTTCATTGCAGCTTTCCGTTTTATTTTCTTTATTTATTCTTTCTGCTTTGTTTTTGTGGCCTGCCTAACGTATCCTTGAAACACATCAGGAGGTATACTTCTAAGTGGGCCCCCTGGTGTGGGGAAGACTTTGTTAGCAAAAGCCGTTGCTGGTGAGGCAGGTGTAAATTTCTTCTCCATTTCCGCATCTCAGTTTGTTGAGATGTATGTTGGAGTCGGTGCTGCTCGTGTTCGATCACTTTACGAGGAAGCAAAAGAAAATGTGAGTTTTTTTACTTCCATCTGTTTTTGTTCATCGTTGTTTTAGATACCCTCTTTACGTTATCAGAGTGGATCATTGTTGTGTGATGATGTTGAACTCTGGATCATTTATTTTGATTGTAGTTTAGAAGAAATAATAGTCATTATTATTTGTTTAAGTGTTGACCCATGTGAATATTTAAGTGAGAATGCCATAGGTAATGATAAGCATGGAGTGGCATGTCTATAATTTGAAGTGGGGTCTCTCTTTTTTTCCTTTTTCTTTTTCCTTGAGTTAGAAGGCATGAATCTGTGTTGGTTAAGAAATATCGATAACTATATAAGTGCGCGTATTTCAAGTGAACAACTTAGGACAAAATAAACATGATTTCATATTTCGAACAAATTAATTAAAAATTTTATGCGACTCTGCACAGGCTCCATCTGTTGTTTTCATTGATGAACTGGATGCTGTAGGAAGAGAACGTGGTCTGATTAAGGGATCTGGCGGACGAGAACGTGATGCTACTCTAAATCAGGTCTCTTGGAGAAATTGCAATTTTTTTGCAGACATTTTCAATTGATTGATATATATATATATATTATATAGTCATTGGTCCATATTACTAATGCATCACACAATGACTACTCCTCCACAGCTTCTTGTGTGCTTAGATGGGTTTGAAGGCAAAGGTGAAGTCATCACTATTGCCTCCACAAATCGGCCCGACATTTTGGATCCAGCACTTGTGAGACCCGGGAGGTTCGACCGGAAAATATTCATTCCTAGGCCTGGGCTGATAGGCCGTATGGAGATTCTCAAGGTATTAATTTTCTTCAATATGCAACCTAATATAATGCTCATGTCTATCATTTTTCCAGTTTATATATTTCTTAACTTAGGTTCATGCTCGGAATAAAAATGATCTTTTTGTATGTATTGAATAGGTTCATGCTCGGAATAAACCAATGGCCCCAGACGTTGATTACATGGTTGTTGCTGGTTCGACAAATGGGATGGTTGGTGCTGAGCTGGCGAACATCATTGAGGTTGCTGCAATCAACATCATGCGTGATGGGCGTTCAGAGGTAAGTGAGTTTTGAAAGATTGAAAAAAAAAAAAACTTCAAAATGAATTTGGTTTGTCTTTTGCATTTTATTAGTGTTAAACCGAAGGAAGTCATTTGCTAAGGGTGTGGTTGGATATGGATTTGATTGGTTTTTTAGTTAATTTTGAAAAAGGTGGTATGAGTGTTTATGGATTCAACTAGTTTTTATTTGGTTTGTTTTTTAACAATAGTTAATTTTGAAAAAAGACGTATAGTTAGTTGTTAGTGGTTGTATTAAATAATATTTAAATAAATAATTAAAGTAAGTTGATTTGATGTAAAGTAGGAGAAAAATGTTGGAAGTGACTTGTTAGTTAAAATTATGTGAGTGGATGAATAATGAATTAAAGTTGATGTGATGTGTAAGAATGATTGGTTGATAATATTGGAGATAGTGGTGTTGGGTTAAAGTTTAGTTAATTTTGAGTTTTGATTGATTTTTTTACTGTAGAAACTATATACAATCGCCCCCTTAGTTGTTAATGAGAATTTAAGTTTAAATTAAAATATTATTTAAAATAAAATAATTAAACTTGATTTGATGTCAAAGTATGAGAAAAATGATTGAAAGTGGTGGTTAGATAAAATTATGTGAGTGGACGAATAGTGAATTGAACATGATGTCATATGTAAGTATGATTGACTGATATTATTTAATTATATTGTTATTGTTGAAGATAGCGGGGTTGGGTTAAAAATTGAATTAAATTTGAGTTTTGAGTTTTGATTTATTTTTATGTTTTTTATTTTTTTTAACCAATCATACCTAAGTGAGTGAATTGATGGGAATAGAAGATATTTGCATTTCTCCCAACCTCAATATAATACCAGCCTTCTATCGAGTATTTGCACCAAATAACTGCTTATATGCTGCCACAATTTGTGCATATGAACAGATTACCACTGATGACTTGTTACAAGCTGCACAAATGGAAGAAAATGGGCCGACAGTAAGAAAAGAGAAAAGCCCGAATATGTGGAGGCAAGTGGCTACAGATGAAGCAGCTGTGTTAGTGGCTGCCGTCAACTTCCCGGATCTCAGAAATATTGAGTTTGTGCGTTCCCGCATATACATTTTTATTTATTTGTTTATTTATTTATTGATGCATAATTTTCTTGCTGCAATGATATTTATGAGATTCAAAACATTCCAAGATGTTGCTTTCCTTGAAAAAAAGGGTATTTTCTAATGAAAGTTGTCGTCATCAAAGGGCTCATTGAATAAATACTTGCTGCTCATTTTCCCCTTCCATTAAAAGTGAAGCAAATTAAGGTTGAAACCATAAATGTCAGAGGCAATGTATTTATCAAGCCACAACGAGTTTGTTCGTTTTTTGGAGCCAGCACTTAAGTCCTATGAACAATCCAATCTATATAAGCTAATAATGGTCAATAGCGATTGTGCAACTTTTTTTTATCTTCAATCTTTTTGTTATCTCATCTGTAATTATTCTATTCAGGTGACGCTAGCACCAAGAGCTGGAAATGAATTCGGTTATGCACGAATGAAATTCGATCACTTGAAATTCGAGTCGGGCATGTTAAGGTAAAGTTCTCTTCTTCTTATTCTTCTTCTCCGTCTTATTATTTGTTAATGAGATGAAAATCTGTATCTTCATACTGATCCATATAATAAGAGCTCTATTTGTATACACAACAAGGAGAATAATAAATTTAATCAAATCCCTTTAATTGATGATAGTATATTTTTTTTTTCTAAAAGGACTTATTCCATATTTACACAGTATACACTAAGGCTATGGTTGGTAGACAAATAAGCTAGCTTATAGGTTATTTGGTAGCTTATGAGCTTTTTGTATTTAAATAACCTTCGTTTGGTAGGACGAGTTTTAGCTTTTCAAATAAGCCCGTTGAAATTTTTATTTCAGCTAGCTTATCAGCTAATCTTATCAAACACTTTTATCATATAGGCTAGGTTTTCAGTTAGCTATAAGCTAGGTTATCAGCTGTCAATTAGCTTAGCTTATCATAGCTTTATTAGTTAGTTTTTCCAAATGTAGCCTCTAACACTCTCTCTCAAGCTAGAATTTGATATGTCAGATAATGCATCCCAGCTGTATAAATTGTACGTGCAACGTTTTTTTTTTTGTGTGTGAATGTGCTGAACTTTATCATTTACTATGCTGCAGCCGGCAGTCTGTCTTGGATCACATAACCGTCCTACTCGCTCCACGTGCAGCTGATGAACTCATCAACGGGAAAACTCGGGTAATTATTCCTTTGTTTCTATTTTCTATTATTTATTTCATCTTTATATTCATTACACTTTCTATGATAAAGAGGATGCGGTCACAATCTGTTTTTACGTCTTCTGTTTGAGTAAAGGTCTCACAAGATAAAAGATATATATATATATATATATATATATATATATATATATAATTCTATACATCACGAAATGCTTTATTTCTATTTTTCATTATTCATGCAGTTAATTAATCTTTACCTTCTGATATTTTACTATGCTTTGTAATTTTCAGTTGAGTACCATATCGTCAGGCAGTTCACATGGTGCCAGATCAGCTGCGAGGGCTTTAGTTCTCGGTGGCCTTTCTGAGAAGAATTATGGATTGAACAATTTCTGGACTACAGAAAAGATAGAGGTAAAGTTTCCTTTTCGAAGTTTACGTATTTTCTCGATTTTGAGAGGATAACTAGCTTACATGTTGCTAGTTTACAACTTTTATGCTTTTATTTTCTTCCAAGAAAAGGAAAAAGAAAATTGCATAAAATTTGTGTTTTATTTCTATTTTATCCAGCAATAACATACACTTCTACCTGACCAATGTCTGAGTTGTAAATATTTTAATTTTTCAGTGTATTGATATAGAGGCGCTGAAGATCCTGTACTCGTGTTATGAACGTTCAAAATCGGTACATTACAAAAAAAAAAAAACAACATTCCTTTCACTATATTATTCATTGAAAAGATACTGAAGATATTTTTTGTTCGGAAATTTTTATGTAGATAATTCAGGATAACATGGATCTCTTGGATGCTGTTGCCCGTGAGCTTGCAGAGAAGAAAAATTTAACCAAAAAAGAATTCTTCAACTTAGTCGAGCTGCACGGGTCCCTTCAACCTCCGCCACGTAGCATAGTCGATATCAGATCGGAAAAATTGTTAGAACTGCAAAATATGATGGCCCACAACGAGAAAGCAGCTGTCGAGTTAAATGTATGAGCCAGTTCAGTTAAGGTATATTAACTCGAGTTTTTTAGGAATATAACAAATTTGATATCGAGCTCTTTATCATCAAGGATTATTACATTTTTGTTTCTTTTGCTTCGAAGTCTTGAAAAGAGAAAAACAATCTCTCTGGAACTTTTCTCCTGAACAGTTAGTCACCGGAAAAAAAATTCACAAATTTGAAAATCAGCTCTAAAGCAGAGGAGATAATCTGGTGGAGGTGATGGGTTCGCAATAAATATGATCAAATTTGGTGACGAGCACGGTTAATATATCACCTCGCACAACGCAACCGAGAGAGGGAGCAATTTCGAGCTCGGTCATTGGCTAGTATATTTGTGGTTAGATATGTTTTTTGTTGTTTATTTTACAAACCTTCTCACGATAGTTGATTTGAAGCTCGTCACTTGATAGTTTGGTTGTAGTTTATGAAGAGTATATTTTTTTTTTATTTACTTCACTGATATTTGCTTTTCCTATGAAAAAAAAATAGTTTATTTTAACCTGGCTCGGGGATTGATTTGGGCAGGCTTTCGAGTCACAGGTTCAATTGATAAACCAGATAATTAATTCTAAAAATTTTAAGGGTTGACCCAATTGGGTCAATGCCAGTTTGACTGTGTTTCTTGTCAATCAGTTTGAGACACCCGCCCTAATTGGTCCCGACTCTGGTGGACTGGGCTTGGGTCGACTCGTGTTGAAAAACACTGAAAAATAAGACTTATGATTTATTTCGTGATAAGAGGATATTGTATTTTTGCTTAAATACGTCTTTCCCCTAAGGTTCGTGAGTGTCATTATGCAATGTCTTACCACTGCGTCCATGCAAATCCTCTGGAATGGAGTCCCGGGAGCAGAGTTCCAACCGTCCAGGGGAGTGCGACAAGGAGAGCAAAGTGAGTCTCGACGTCAAGGAGAGGAAAGGTGTAATTGAGATATAATTGACCTCGACTCTAAAGAAAGTGTCTTAGGACAGAGTGACGCCTGGAATGTCGTCGTCCTTGCAAAACTTTCTAAACTCTTCCCATATTTCCTTGGCTTGGTTAAAGGGCTCAAATCAACTGGGTTGGTCAAGGAATTAGCCCTCCCCCTGATCAAATATGCGAAAAAGACGTCAGACTCGTTAGTGGCTTATTCCCTGTTGCAATCCAAATAACACAAGTTTTTTATGAGTGGGTCTAATCGTCGTCATTGTTAGGTATGTTGTTGAATGTTTTTCTACCGTTATCATTCATATGGACATTTGGATGAGAACTTTTGATATTATTTTCAATATTGAATCCCTTTTTGTGGCTGCGGAAACTCGATCGAGTCTGTCGTACGTCCTCTTGACCATGATCATGGCTTTTCGATGACGCGACACTCTTCTTCGCCATGGACAATCTAGAGGAAAAAGTGATTTGGACATACAGGGTTTTCTCGTTGCTCGTCTTTTTCTTTTTTCTTTATTTTTTTTGGCAGATATGAATTGAGAAAGTGAGAAAGCGAGAAAGTGATTTCGGAGGAAGAAATATTCGGGCACGATTCCCATTAATTTTGAGCTACCCGGTAAAGAAGCATCCTTTCATAATAAATGCTACTCCATCTTATTTTTTTTTTTAAATGTCATTCTAGCCTTTTCAACTATTTGTCAAATAAATGTCGTTTTGGATCTTTTGTACGTATTTTTCAATTATTATCCTCATTTAGCCAATAAATACATTACGTCTTTTCATAAATACATTATCTCTATCTTCATTAAATAAGGTTATTATTAACAAAAAAAATATTACTACCTCCTGTTCATTATAAATGTCGTTTTGACTTTTGTGATTCATCCATTTTATTATGTATTTAGACATTAATATGTCTAGATACATAACAAAATGGATGAATCAAAAAAGTCAAAACGACATTTATAATGAATAGGAGGGAGTATTAATTAGTGTGCAACTTCTCAAAACGACATATATTAAAAATAGGAGGTAGTAATTAAAAAAACATAGAGTCTACTAATTTTAATATTAAAGGTATCTATCTTATCTCGTGATTATGTAAATTTGTTTCCTGTATCGATTTTTAAATATAAATTTTGGAAGGTATCAGCATCACCAATGGGAACTGTCGAAAAATTAGATACATGTAGACATCGTCTTTATACAATTTCCTCCAATGCGTTATTTTGTAGGCCATGTTCTGCTGACATGGCGATAACATCGTCACCCGTCCTGTATGCCTCTAGAAAGTCTGACATTTGGTAAAAATTTTACTATTGACGATTGAGGTATTGGAGATGCTATAAGAGAAATTACCCTTATTCTTACAGGAGAGTAGGGATTATCATCATATTGGGCCTATCCTTATTCTTATTGGAGAGTAGTGGATTATCATCATATTGGGCTGAACCGAAATTCCAATCCATGAACCCCAGAAGCATATTTACACCCCTTACAATAAGTTATGATATATATTACATTTATACACCAATTAATTTTTTATTTATAAAATTACTAAAACAAGCAATAAATATTGCATTTATGCCTAAAATGTTGAATTATGAAGAGGTAACCGTTTGTAAGCAATTATCATGCCTAATTAAATGCAATTAGGATAAGAAAGTGAAATCAAATATTTACTTACCAAAAAGGACGGGAAAATTAATATCTCTCTATCTTCTCTCTCTCTCTCTCTCTCTCTCTCTCTCTCTCTCTCTCTCCAGAAAGCACCCACCGCCCACGTTCCCCTCTCTGTGCAAAAAAATCATCTTCAATGGCCAAGAAAAAACTACAAATTGCTACTCGAAAAAAAACCGACGAACAGTGCCGACGAAACACCACAAATTAGGTCGAGTTCTTGGCTTCGTAAAATTCAATCAAAAGCACAACCCAAAATCATTTAGAAGAAGTTAATTTTTTAAAAATACATGAACCCTAACCCTAAACGCAAGTCCGTCGGCAACGCTAGAGTGCTAAATCGTAGTTCATCTCCCGATTTTGGACAATTTCTAAACCGACCCAAATCCACTGAGAAATATTCGGAGACCCCGTAAATTGGAGAAACCAAAATTCACCGACAAAGATATGGACGAAAAAGAACCCGGTTTTGAGTACGAAAGTCAAACAACACCGACAAAGATTTTAATATGTGTATGTTAAGTATTTATATTGTATGTATATAATTCCTTTTGTATTAAGTCGTTTCGAAGTTGTTATTGATCAACAACATTATGTCGTATATGTTCAGTATATGTAATGTATATGTAACATGTTTTTTGTGTCGTGTGATTTTTTTGGAGCAAATGTTTATGTTCATTAACCAATATCTGGGTATGCTAATAGTTTATCATATGTATATATTCTTGATTGGAGCAATGGTATATGTTCATTAACTGATATGTTTATTTCTTTTTGGTGTATATTCAACACATGGTTAAGCAAATGCAAAAATTTTACTTGGTATATATTAAAGTATATTGTGGGAATATTTTGTATATTCATTAATTTATTTTTGTGATCGTGTATATTTTGTATCTTTCTGATCGTGATTTTTCTGTATATTGAGAGAGTGCATACGTTTATAGACAGTATGTTTTTTATAATTATGTATATGTTGCGTTTATAGACAATATATTTTCAGTATATGTTGTATTTTTAAATATTTATTTTAGGCGATGTTGAAACATTGATAACAATAATAAATTGATCATATATCAAACATAAACTACTTACCTGATTGTAATAATATCACATATAAAACACTTAAAATATACCATACATTAAGAAACATACGCCACCAGAAAAATAACAAACAAAACAATTCGTTTTACAACACTAAAAATAATTGCAAATTCTGTCTACGAAACATATACTTAAAATATACAACACACAAACTGATCATATACCAAACATAAATATAATAAAAATAGATAAATATTAATTCAGAAATAGATTTGAACCGATCATATCGAACCAAGGCCCGAATTAAGACCTAAAACAGCGGGCATGACCGCAGTCATCTTCTCCGATGGATCCCCCTATGCGCCGCCTCATTATTGGACCTGAGCTCCGACAACTCGGCGCATCTCGGACAGGATTGTGGAGATCTCTCCCTCAATCCCCCGCATATCATATACAACCTCAGCCCGAAAATGGCCGATTGTGGCCGAACACTGTTGTGTACAAATTATTCTTTTTACCGAGTACCGAATATAAAGATTCGTTCTCCGGGTCGATCTCACGAGGAATGCTGTTCGGAATTTAGTTCTGATATCGATAACACATAAAAAGAAAACAAACCTAAACACTCTAATCGAATAAGGATGGATGAATAATTATCAGCTAAGAAATAATAAAAAGCAATAACCTACCTAAGAAGATAAACGAAACAATGAAAAAGAAGCTAGGGAGTCGGAGATAATTAATTCAAGTTCTACCAAAACCGGGCAATCAATTGTTCGGTTCAAGATTGACACTCTCTCTTAGACATCTAGCAGTTCGCTCCCAATAACTCTTCATAACAAGGGATTGAACATGGACGAACAAGTTCGAGCATACGACACATGCCAATTATCCCAATCCCAATAACTTTTCGTAACAAGGGACGGGTCATTAACAAGTTCGTATTTCAATCTAAAACACGTAGATTAGTCAATTACGACATCGTCTACCTTATGTGAGCCTACGTTTACGACTTCTCCCCTTTCGGTTCAAAAAGTCGCTAATTTAACTAGAAGAGAGTTAATCGACTAATCACATAGAATCAACAAAACCATAACTCGACTAATCAACATTCAATTGTTACCAACTGCAAGATCGAAGTGTCACTCTTCAATTATATCAATCAATCAAGCAAGAATATATCAATCCCTAATCGAAACAACTCACATAAGAAAGAACAATTTCAAGCCCGAGAGATGCACGTTAAACAAGAACAATCATTCTCCTATCCCTAGCGATAAGATTAGATACGTAAATTCAATCCAACACACATAATCGTTCTTCTCAAATCAATTAACCATTGTTCATGAATTAATAAAAGAGAGAAAAACTTACAAATCATCCCAAATTCAAGTGCCGAATTGAATTACAAGCTTAATTCCCTAAATACTATGAAAAAGAGAAAGAAAAATGGAAGAAAAAGATTATAAGAAGAAGAAGAAACGAAAAGGAAGAAGAAGGGTGAAAGAGAGGAGTTTTTGTGTTTTCTCGGGCCCGAGGGTTTTCACCCCGGTCGAGAGTTAACTTTTTCTTTTCTGATCGCGACACCAATATTTATAGATAGGCGTGGACGTGGAAAGAGTGCTGCATCGCGGCGTGAAGGGGCCTAGTGCCGCGGCTCGAGGTGCTGCCGCGGCGTGGAGAAGACGTCTGGCGCGGCGTGGAAGAAGATGGTGCCGCGGCGCGGCATGCTGCACGGCGCGGAGGCATGTTCTGAGCTCTC